CCTATCTAGTTAGAGACAACCACCCATTCTACATCTTTCACACATGTAAATCTTGTATTGGCAGGCTTTTTCCTTATTCATTGATTGTCTGCCTTGTGCTAGGCACAAGTGCTGGGAATAAATGCTTAAAATGTACTCCTTTCCCTCAAATATATTATACTTTAAGTGAGGAAGAGAGCCAACAGTTACAGTAAAGGTTATATACCAACTGATACACTGCCATTAGCAGTATAAAACCTTAGAAATCTTTTGAAAAGCAATTTGGAGATAGGTTCCTCAGAGCCTTAAAAATGTTCATTTGCTTTGATCTCAAAGTCATTTTTATTGCTTTATTGCATGAAAATTATGCTAAATATGGAAAACAGCCTTCATGCATAAGAATATTTTGTCTTATATTGAAAAGTTTAACTATAAAGGAATAATTAGTGTGGTTCGATAAACCCACTCAATCAAATATTTTGTAGGCCACTAAAAGACAAGGTATGAATCCCCTGATTAGATGAGAAATGGTTGATTCAGTGTTAAATGGAAAAAAACTTGAACATAAGATTTGATATAGAGTATGATGGAAGCTTTGTCCAGAAAAATACCAACTAGCCAATATGTAGAAGTGAGGAAGGGAGAGCAGAAGACAGGAAGAAAACTTATTCCAAAACCGTATCATTCATCTTATGTAAGTAATAGCATATCAAGCGATTTTATGTTCTGATTTTTTAGTTCCATATGTCCCTTTAAGGAACATGAATTACTTTTGTAGAAGGAGGGAACACTTTTTCATAAAAATTTAACATTGTGTTCTAATCCCCTCCACTAGAGGGAGAAGCTATTTCATATAATTGGCACTAAACGTGCTGTTTAGAACTAGTTAATAATAGAGTATTTTAATCTACTCTTTCTGATTGTGATGGGGGTTTTTGTTTGCTTATTTGTTATTAGAATATGTGAAATCAGTTNAAGTTAAAGAAGTCAGACTGAAAATCTCAGCCACACTGAACATAGGAACTGAAGGCGCCTCTCAGCAGTTCAGAGTTATCACAAAGCCAATCTGCCAAAAACTGTTCAATTTTCTCCATAGCAGAGCCTTCCAGGTCCTTATTTTTAGCTTATTCATTTTTAAACATAATTCTATATGGATATTATACACAATCCTGACAAGTTTTATTAACTGAGGTTAACTGATGATGTATTTACATTAAAATATAACTTAATTTGTTTATATTTCTTCAGGGGTTTTCCATTAATCAAAACTCGTGACGTATATAGTCAGTTGCAGGTATGTAGTTAAATTTATAATGTATAGGGGTTTGAAGTGGGACAGGTGGAAGATCATTCATTCTCTTTGCTTTTTAGAGGTAACAGAATTTTACAAGAAACATTTCCCTACAATAATTCATTTCAAACTTCTCAGGTCACTAACCCAGTGCCACTTTGTGGTTGGATATGGCACACTGGGGGCCTTGTGATTTTATCTGTAAAAAAGGAAGCCATTTCTCCTGCCTATAAATCAGCTGTTACCCAGTGAAATGAACTTTCTGACTGGATACATGGAGCTGTCATATTCAGGAATGTCCTTGTGCTTTAAAGAAATGCTATTTGAGGGCTTTATAAGTTCCAGATCCTGAAGCCAAAAGAAAGCAACAAACCCCAAAGCCTGTGGTCTCTCAGAGCACTTTTTCCTCTCTCACCCAAACCACACACATTCCTTGTCATACTGCCTCATGGTCTTGTAGCAAATGAATCCTGGCTCTCTTTCCGAGATATCCTGAGAGACTGTAGTTGCTCTGTAAACACCTCTGAGATTGAGAGAAGAGCACTGTGGGTGTCAGTACTGCCCCCCGCATACCCAGAAGAAGAGTGCATACCTCCTACTTTTGTGCTTTTCCTGTACTGCAGGGTTTGCTGCTTTGGTTGAAATGATACCCTAGTGACCTGTCTTCTCTGCAGTTGTGCAATACAAGCACGCCGCTTTCTGATCTGTAGACTTCTCATGGGATTGTGACCAGGTCCGCTCTTAAATGTTTGGAAATATTGAGCAACATTTCAGTGGCAGTAAACCTTGGCAGGAGAGTTGTATTATTATTATTATTATTAATTATTATTATTATTATTATTATTATTCTAGTTTTAACTTAAGGATGATTAAGATGAGGTTTTTGATGGGTCACTTTCAGTTGTGTATATGTACGTGATTTAGTTTTTAAAAGTTTAATGTTTAACTTTCTGTATTCTTCTAATTCTTCTTTATCAGTCCCCTATTGATGGATTTTCCTCTTAAAAACTACATTTTCTTCTAGACGCTTTGTGTCTGATGATGGAGAATAAATTTCTCATCTGCAGTATAAAGTTGATATGAGAAAAAAATGTTTACTCTGGCTCCTCACTTGGCTTCTGTAAAATGTACTTAATAAAATAATATGGGCAACTCCAAATATTAATC